CAGAACTCCAATTAAAAAGAGCTCTCGGAACACTCACGTCTGTCTGAGAAGACTTAGAGAGTGGAGCCAGGCAGATGCTGGTCAGGGCTGGGATGGGTAGGAAGAAGGACTTCGCAGTTCCTCTGGAAGGCTCCTCACCCCCCACCCTGTGCCCTTTCTCTTTATGCAAATGCACACACCGTGCAATTGAGTTAATTAGCATCCACAGCTGGGAAACAGTCCGACTTTGGGGAGGGAGACATGTCTTACATTTTTTTTTTAACGGAGAACAGCTGATTCCCTCCTTCCCTCATAAGCCCTGTGCTGTAGCAAAGAGCAGGAGACTGCACGTTGGCTGGGAGACAGAGTAAGGGAGGGGGACTGCAGAGCATCCAGCCTGGCCTTGCTATTTTCGTCCTTTCTCAGGCACGGATCAGTGCCCTCGGCCAGTGCTGTCCAGTAGAACTTTCTGTGATGATGAAAGTGTTCTATATCCGCACTGTCCAACACAGTAGCCAGCAGCCATGTGTAGTGAAAGAGCAGTTGAAATATGGCTACAGCAACTGAGGACTCAATTGCTAATTGAATTTAATATTTATTAATTTAGACAGCCACATTAGTTGGTGGCTGCCATATTGGGGAGAAAAAAAAAAAAGAAGCCCAGTAGACCCAGGGAAACTGAGTCCTTTCCCACCTTTGTGCTGCCCAACCCCTGCTCCCTGTGCCCTTCTGCAGCAGGATAATCATGCTTCAAGGCAGGGGCATGGATGAGATGACCTCTCAAGGCATCCACCAAGTTCCTGCCTGCCACAGCATGTTACAGAAATGCTTCTGGACTTCTCTTTGCCCCTCGGGCAGATTCATTCATGCATTTAAAGATTACTTGTTGAATACCATCCACTTGGAGAGGTAAAGATTAGTGACAAAGCTCCGTCCTTAAGAGGTAGACCATTTAAATTCCACAAAGGGAGCCCGAGGAAACCCAGTCACTATTTCATTTATTGCAGAGAGATTCTGGGCACCTCCTTTCTTGTCTTCTGGCTAGAAAGGAGTCTGGAGAGTCTCCCCAGGTGGAGGAAGCCCGGAAAAGCCCCCCTGAGGTGTGAATTCTAAGTATGCCTCAGTTTCTACAATTTCTATCAGTCAGATCCCAGTATCTGGGCCACCCACTTTTCTCTCTGTTTGAGTATGAGGTCAGGATAGAGGGGAACATTAACACCAGTACAAGATCAAGTTGTTAATGGTACCAGTGTGAGTCTAAGGGCCCCAGGGTAGAAGGTTACACTTCAGGGATCAGCAGATGCCCACTGGGGACCCTCCATTGCTATGACCAGGAAGCAAGATGGGGCCAGGGCTTCTGAAATACACCTTTGCCTCTGCTGGTGAAGCACTGTACCCCTGCAAGAGAAATGCAGCAGCCAGAGGACAGGTCTGGAGGAGGTGCCGAGTGTGGCTGCCCACCTGGGATGCCTCTGGGTCCGTAGAACTGGGCCTACACCCAGGTCCTCCCTGTTTGCTGGGCCTTGGAGGATGGCACAGCCTTCAAGCACTTGTTGGTGTCGCCATGGGGAGAAGGCAGTGCACCCATGTGTGCTTTGTGGGTGCTACTGCACTAGTGTGACTGGGACCTGGACGGCGTTGGCCAGAACTGGGGCATCGCGCAGTTGGTTGGAAGGACTTGGGCTAGAAGCCATCGTAGATTCAGAACCTACCCCAAGGCCAATATGAGGATAATAGGGTGGCTCATGGCTTCCTTGATCATTGGATTAGATTGTGAAATGAGAGGTCCTGCCCTACAGCTTCCAGGATGCGGGAAAGATATTGAGCATTCCATTTTTTTCCATCTTCTGTAGAATCCTCTCAGAATGACATCTAGAGGTGGAGGTTTGGGGTGTGTATCTCTTCCTTCCTGGATGGTTTTCACAGTTGCAAATGGAAGCACTAGCGGAACTTTATCCCGTCTCCTCCTGCTCCCTCACCTGCCTTTCCCATCCCCTTGGCACAGCCCTCGCTTTCCATCTCCCTGAAGCTTTAAATGCATGGTGGAGACACACAAAGAGAGGAAAAGGATCAGAGTGATTATCAGAGAAGTAGATGCCAGATCTTAAAGTTGCTTACAGTCTAGAAATGAGCATAGGTTGTGTAGGCCTCGGCCTCCTACGCCATCTACTGGCCATTTCCAGGTACTGATCGACTTGTCAAACAGGTTCCAGAGCCCACTGTAAAGCTCCTTTGCTGCTGTTCACACACAGAGCACCCTTCACCAGGAAGTCCTTCTTCGAATCCCACCTAAATCCCTTCTGCAACCTCAGTTTATCTCCCTTGGTGAAATAGCTCAGGAGTAAGCCAGTCTACTTGTGCCCTCTTATTTCATCTAAAACTTAAACCCTTCCAAAATTGACAACCTATTTATGATTCAGCCTTAAAGCTGCTGAGTATGGCTAGCTGGCTCTAGCATTCCAACTGCAGTCTTGCTTTCCAACCCTTTGATCTTTGTCGCTCTGCACCGGCTCCCCTCCAAGTTTCTACTGTCTCTCCAAAGCCTACAAGACCCTGATTAATATCTTTGATACTCGATTCTCCTGATGCCTAAGTAATAGGTCCCACGGGGTTAAGTGGCACCAAAAACTAGGAGGCATATCAAAACCTTAAGCCTGCCCTTCAGAAGCAGCCAAAGAGCCTGCAAACAGGGAGCAGGGCTGGGGTGCCCGCCCACCTCTGTAAGGCCCAGGGTTTGCAAAGTTCTTAGGTTAGCTTCAGATCAATACAGAACACTTTCAAAGACCAACAAGGGTCAAAATAAACTCGCTCACAGTTTATTGAACAGTATCCACAAACTCTTCCCTTGATGACTCCTAACCTTGGTGACTCAAGGTTAAAGGCGGCCCAAGGCACTTCTCAGAGATGCAGGTCTTGAGTTGAAGGTCTTCAAGGACCCCACAGTGCACCATTGAGACTCCTGTGTACTTGGCCATGGGGATGGGCTCAGTGGCCTCTTGAAAGCCACTGGAGTGCGGCAGCTTCCTGGCTGTCTGCCCTTGAATTTGCCAGCTCTCTGGATCAGGCTGAGCAGACCACTGTAGGAGAGGCTCCCCCGCTGGTCAGCAGCCAGCCCCCTTACGTTATCTGGTCATAGTCTCTTCTAGGTCGACAGCCCTGGCCTGTCCCCAGGTTGTTATGGCAACCATTCCCCCCCACACCTGCCTGCCCCCACAGGGATCCAGTGCTTTCTGAGGACTAGATGCATGGTGATGCCCCGAGAGGCTGAGCCCAGTAGCTCAGTGAGGTGGGCCAGCAGCCCTCCTGGACCAAGGCTAGCTCTCCCTCTGCCCACTCACTCCCCCAAGGCCAAGCCTCAGGTGGGAGCCATGACTAGAAGGTGGAGTCCTGGCCTTTCCATTTGCTCACAGTCCCCAGAACCAGCCATGCTCCTCCCGGCATCCACACCTGCAGCCTGATCTGCCCCACGACCAAGAAAATCTGGTTTATCCCAAGACACTGCTCTTCTAGATCCCTAGATCCCTAGATCACACAGCAGCCTGGTAGTTTATTCTCACCACAGTTTTTGAGATAAAGTAGTGAGGGCACAGGGGAAGAGGGGTGAGAGGCTGCAAGGGGGACCCATCCTAACTGGGCCTGCCGTCCTAACTGGGCCTCTAAATGCCCCAAACGCCAGGAGCGGTGGTGCACACCCGTAATCCCAGCTACTTGGAAGGCTGAGACAGGAGGATTGCAAGTTTGAGGCTAGTCTGGACAACTTAGTGAGACCTTGTCTCAAATTTTTTAAAGGAGGTGTAAGGTGGCTGGGGAGGTAGCTCAGTGGTAGAACACACCTGGGTTCAGCCCACAGAGCTCTGAATACCCCCCAACTCATACCTGAATATCCTCTGGGCTGAGAGGTCAGCGGTCCTGCCCGACACCTGCCACAACAACAGACAAAGCGTCTTCCCGCAGAGCTGCTCTTTCCTGGCAACTTCCTATCGTCTCAACTCCCCTGAATTCTTCCGCTCTTCTCCCCTCCCAGATGCCTAATTATCACCATTTTGAGGTATTCGTAGACTAGGATGTATTTCTTTACCCCATTCGTTATTTGGGGTCACCCAGAGCCCTGTTTTTTACCTTTACCTTTTTTGAGTATTTAAAATGAAAAGAGGACAATGAGGGTCAAAAGAGGGGCTCCTATTGTCCCCCTGCCCTGGTCACACATCCTGGAAATAGCAAGCCAATGTCTCCCCATTCTGGGTCAAGTGGGGTGTCAGGGTGCCAGGGAGCTGAGGGCAGAAAGGTGTGTGACTCTGAGAGACGAGTTTACTGGAAATCTGTGGCCTGAGAGAAGCTGGGCAGTGGAATTAACAGATCAACAAACACATGAACGGAGTCCCACTCCTCTAAAGGTCATAAGTCAGCTAAGTCTAGACTGTCACCAAGTCACTCCTATATATAACTGCTCTGGCCCCAGCCAGCTGCCACCTCGCTCAGAATGGAGCTGAGTGATGTCCCAGCTCCCAGGACCCAGAGCATAGAGCCAGTTCAGGGCCAGAGCAGGAAGCAAGGCCACCAGATGCCATCTGTCCCCACGCTGTTCTTCTCCTGGTCCCACATTTCTGGTTCTCCGATCTCCCAGGTCCACTTCTTCTGTTCCTTATGATGGTCCCCACCACCCTGCCACTCCTGCCCCTGGTTCCCCAGGTCCAAATGCCTCTAAGTGCCCTGAAGTTCTAAAAGTATAAAGACCTGGCTAAGAAAACAGACGAGACTGCTCTTGCCCACGCCTGGGATAGCCCTTCTCCTCCATCGATCCAGATCTCAGGGTTCCTTGGCCATGAGCACCCCCTGTTTCATCTGCTGAGCCCTCCTCTTAACAAGGGACCTGCTTCCACAACCCGCAGCTTTATGAGCCGTTTCCCGGACTTCCTGGCCCCGGCCTCCTAACGCCCTCTCCCTCGGGTCCCACTTCCCCAGGGTTCTGGACATTGTGGCCCAGCCCCTAGAGGCTAACCCCTGACCCCTTCTCCCCACAGAGAGAGACTCTCGTGAGCATGAGGAGCCCACCACCTCCGAGATGGCCGAGGAGACCTACTCCCCCAAGATCTTCCGACCCAAACACACCCGCATCTCCGAGCTGAAGGCCGAGGCAGTGAAGAAGGACCGCAGAAAGAAGCTGACCCAGTCCAAGTTCGTCGGGGGAGCCGAGAACACCGCCCACCCCCGGGTCATTGCTGCCCCTGAGATGAGGCAGGAATCGGAGCAGGTGAGTCTCAGGGACTCTCTCCCCACCTCTTCCTCTGCCACCACCCCAACATTGGACATTTTCTTGCATCTGGCTGGCCATCTGTGCCAGCAGGAGATCCTAACAAAGAACCTGTGCTTGCCGTGGTCGCTCACCGTAGGATTGGGAGGGTAGTTTTTGCAATTGCACAAACCAAGAGTTTGTCCAGGTTTTCATTTAGGAAAGCACCGGTCAGCACAGTGACCACTCTCTAGGTGTGTGTTCCCTGGAACGAGGTCCGTTCCTTCACAGAGGCTCAACACTCTCCTAGAGCATCTGGAGATAGAAACCTCAGGGCCTCACTACTGGGCAGGTAGAAAAGCTGAAGGTGGGTGTCCTGGAAGGTGACAGGGGAAACAGGGCTCTGGGACTGCTACACATGGGCTTTTTACACTCCCCAGGCACATGACAGGTGACAAGGAGAAAAGGTGTTTGGCAGCAGCTGATGAGAACCAAGGGTGGGTGGTAGCATCACCCCAGCAGACCCTTTGGCCCCCAGCCTGAGCTTCATACCTGCCACCTGGGTCCTTTCCCCTTGGTCCACCAGGCTCTCGTTCCTCCCGTTCACACAGGGCCCCTGCCGCAGACACATGGAGGCCTCCCTGCAGGAGCTCAAAGCCAGCCCACGCATGGTGCCCCGGGCCGTGTACCTGCCCAACTGTGACCGCAAAGGGTTCTACAAGAGAAAGCAGGTACGTCTGCCAGGGCTGCTCCTAGACTCAGCTGGCACCTGCCAGGAAACTACTCCCAAGAGAACCACCTCAAGCGCTTGGCAAAATGCTGATCGCTGGGCCCCTGAGTTTCTGATTGGCAGGTCTGGTGTGCATCTTAGCCCCGCCATTTACTAGCTATACTCCTCGGCCCAGGGACTTCAAGCCCCTGTGCCTCTGGTGCCTCATGTAGAATGGGGACTATAAATGGGGACTACCTTCCTACCGATGGTGAGGAATAAGAGCTTCATCTCCTTAAAGCTGTGGTGAGCTGAGCAGCATGGCACCTAACACCCCTCACATGTGATGTCCCCTTATGGTGACAATTGTCATCACCCTGGTTATCAAACAGTGCTCCCCACCTGAGGATCTCTGGGGAACACCAGGTTGAAGGACCCCAAGTGAGTAACACAAAATAGACATTGCAGGAGCCAGCTGAGGGCAGGCTGCCTACATGGGGGGCTCTGGGCTCCGCCATGAAAGGGGACACGGATCTCCAAGGGCTGGACGTGGCCCCCTCAACCCTCTGGTAGCGGGAGCCTCCCTGGGGGTGGGGAAGAGGTAGGACAGCCAGGAGCAGAGACTTGGGGTGCATCGACCTCACAGGCCCGTTGCTCCCTCCCCCAGTGCAAGCCTTCCCGTGGCCGCAAACGCGGCATCTGCTGGTGCGTGGACAAGTACGGGATGAAGCTGCCCGGCATGGAGTACGTGGACGGCGACTTCCAGTGCCACGCCTTCGACAGCAGCAACATCGAGTGATGCGTCCCTTCCCCATCCTTCCCTGGTCCCCTCCCACCCCCAGCCCTGACTCCGGCCAGCGCCTCCCTCCACCCCAGGACGCCACTCATTTCATCTCATTTAAGGGAAAAAAAATATATATATATATACTTTTTTTGAGGAAACTGAGGACCTCGGAATCTCTAGCAAGGGCTCAACGTTGGAAACGGCAACCACAGAGATGGAAAAGATAAGGAGATCCCCCCACCCCGAAAATGGTTTTCTTTTTGAGGCAAGTTGAATGGACAGAGAAGGAACGAGAGGAAGAACAAGACAGAAAGAAGGGAAGGGAGTGTTTGCGTAGAGGAGCTGGAAGACAGAGGGTTAGGAAAAGGAAGAGAGAGCAAGCTGGGCAGGAAGGAGGGACCAGGGACCAGGGCTGCATCCAGCCCTGACCTGGGGCTCCAAAAAGTTGGAGCGCTAGGTGTGGCCTGAAATGTGACATCAGTGACATCAGTGACCCCCTTGGAGTTTTCCCGGTTTGGATTGGTCAGTGCCTCTCAGGTCGGTCTCCTCCTCTCTTCTCACCCCCGGGGGGAGCCTAGTCTCTCCCCCTAGACTCAGAAGATGAAGATGCCTTCCATGCCCCTGAAAACAAGGCAAATTCGTAACCAAGTGATATTCGATAGGTTTCCCTAAGGCGATTCATAAATATGAATTCTGTGTGCACATTTCACTCCTTGTGCAGATTTTTAAAAATCAACACACACCCCCACATGGGAAAGAATTGTTCTTCCGGGGTGACTCGAGATGAGCCGAAACATGGGTCTCCGCCCCTTGTTTTTGTTGTTGTTTTTCAATTAGCAACTAGCACAGCAGCCTCTGTGGAGGAGGACAGGCTGGGGACAAAGTGGGCTTGTATTTATCTACAAGGCTCCGTATAGTCATATATAGGCATATAAATCTTTTTTTTTTTTCTTCTTATTTCTTTCTTCCTCTCTTTCAAGGGTTTGCATTATCTCTTCAAAGTAGTTCCTATGGGGCACTGAGGAGCTTCCTCATTCTGGGAAAACCAGGAAAATCCATATTCTCCTAATACCACCCATAACACTAGCTTTGCCTGCCTCTGGTCAGTGGTTTCCCATGAGCCACTAGCTCAGCTCTTCATGGGGCGCCGTACTGGATGTCTGAATGATTTCCCGCGTGTATTCACGGGGACCCACCAGCCAGGTGCTGCCAGCACCCAATGGTGCACACACTCTGCTGCCCAGCCCACCCCGTCGCAGCGTACAAACCTTCAGGTGTGGTCTCTGGACACCACGCCAAACGAGCCGGTCCTGACCCAGCCTTTTCCCTGGCACCTGGGCAGAACTGCATTTTGAAAGCCTCCCTCCGTCTGCCTGCTGGCACAGCCAGAGAGAGACCGACCTGAGAGAGGGCAAGAGGGAGAAGTTGGAGGGAGGTTTCGGTAGAGGAAGACAGGAGCTGGAGTGCAGAGACAGGGCCAAGCAACGGAGCAGGGAGGCCAGCAGAACTTTCCTTGGCTTCCCCACCTTACAAGCCTTCTGGGATTCAAGAGGAAGAAGGGAGGAAAATGGGGGAAGAGGCTATGAGACAGAAATGAGCCCACGCCAGGCCAAAGAGCCAGGGAAGGTGACTAATTTTAGGTGGGTTTTAGACCCGAGAAGCGGGGTGGGAACAAGGATCAGTAGACTGGCCACGCATTGCAAGGGACAAGACGATGCGCTCAGATGTCCCACCTTCAGCCCACCAGGAGGGACTGTCAGAGAGTCTTTCAAGACCTTTGTCCATCCTGGCCAGTCAGTGTGTCCTCTCTGGAATGGAGGACAGGAAGAAGACCTGGGACAATCTGGGAATTGATGCTGTCATCTCTCAGCCAAATTCTGATCCAAGAAAATCCCATTCTCCACTGACTTCCTCAACAAAGGGGAAGCCTTGTGACTGGCCTCTAAACCTAAAGATAACTGCCAGGAAAAGGGGCTCGGACACTGGTAAAGGAGACCCTTTTTTGCTGTGGACACAGCTCTCTGCCCTCTTTCCTGAAGGCACGTGCGGCACGCTGGAGAACACCCCCAGGGCCAAATGTGAGGCAACAGAGAGGGACTGAGAAGAAGCCAATCTGTTCCAGCCGATGGCCAACTCATTGCTATGGAGCTTGGGAAGTGTCCCCCACTCCCCAGACAGGACAGTTGGCTGGGGATGAGAAAGGTGGTCCATCTTCACGAGACAAAGGGCCCGATGGGGATGGCAGCTGTGAGGACTTATTGGACCTTCCCGGACAGCACACCCCCATCTCTCTGCACAACTGTCCCCAAACCCCCGATTCACACTTCTCTGTATCTTAGGCCAGTACCCTAAAGCTTTTCCATGTCCCTTCTGCCACTCTTTGGCTCTTCAGTCGTCATCTAACTGGGATCTGCCAAGGAGATACTGGGGTGCCATCTCCTCTAAGAAAAGACTGAGCCAGGAACTGCATCCCCCGCCCCAGGCCTGCACCTGATTCCTGAGAGAGCCTCTGTCTTTACCCCACTGTTTGCTGGACCTGGAACGGGCTTCTGCCACTTACTTGTGAGAATCCTTTGCTGTCAGCCACAGCAAAAGTGTCGGGGGTGATGGCCTGGTTTAACACCAGCACCGGTCACTTCAGGTCTCCTAAGGTCCCACCTACTAAGCCAAACTGCAAGCTTCCAGGTTTGCAGGGGTGCATCTGGGCAGCTGGCCTCTCCCTAAAGGAAGCTGGACTTGCATGGACAGATGGAACTAAATCTCCCAAATGGGATGTGTGGCCAAGCCCAGGTGGGGGAGACCACAGAAATGAAGTCACTGAGGGCAGAGGAACCATCTATCCCTTACCAATGGAGTGGGAAGGCAGGTTTGCAATGGTGGGAAGTCCTGAGCTCCAGCTGGCCTTTGGCCACTCTTAGTTCCCCTAGAGGCCTTAGTCTCGGGGTTATCTGTGGCCCAGGTCTAAGTTTTGCCTGCCCCCAGCCCACTCCCACAAGCTTCTCCCCTTGCCCTTTGACTCATGCTTCACTCCAGTAGTGGAGAAGATACCTCTGTCTTCCCCCACGATCGCCAGGTAACTGAGGGGGGCCTGGTCAAGACTGATTCTCCTCCCCCAGCCCGCCCTGACTCACCCCACCAAGTAGGGCACCTGGGGAGGAAGAGATCAATGTTTCTCTGACAGCCAGGCCTAGGCAGACAGGCCTGGGGACACCAGCCCCACACTGGGAGGAAGGGAGGCCCAGGAGGCCCTGTGTGGCCCCTCCTCTTCTCCCTCACCCCCTCTTCCCATCACCCCCCCTTGTCTCCATGGTAACCCTGCAGTTTAACCTCCTCTGGGGGAGGTGAACCTCAGCCACCCTTCTCCCACCACCAGTTCCTTAGCAGAGACGGGGCTGCTATGGCAACTGCCAGGCCCCTGGGGCAGGGCAGCCCCCCATCTCCATCCATCCACTCAGACCCCTAAAGGGCTCCAGTTCAGAATGGGGACTTGAGAGAGGAGTAGCCCCAGAAGAAGAGACCCTCTAGTCTCCGAGGAACCTTTGGCCTTCCGAGAAAACGAGGCCAAGTTTTGAAACAAGGGGAGAAGCGAACAGGGTTTGACCAACCAGCAACCTGGGTGTCGTACTGTCTTTATTTTTTAAAAACCACTAAAGTGCAAGAATTATTTTGCACTATTTCTCCACCTTTTTCTCCCCTCTCTCTTAGGTTTTGTTTCTTTTTTTAAACATCCTTTCTTGGGTTTCTAATGGAGTTTATAGTTTCGCCATTTCACAGACTCTGGCCTCCACTCCTCAGATATTTCCAGATGGGGAAGGGAAGGTGGGAGGGACAGAGGAGAAGGGGTCCCCAGCCACCCTGTGCTCGTTCACCCCACTTCTCTGGACCCTGGTCACCAGCCTCAGCCCCATCTCCACCATCACCACCGTCACACAGTAGCCCACACGGATAGCACAGTTGTCAGACAAGATTCCTTCAGATTCCGAGTTGCCTACCGGTTGTTTTGGTTTTTTTAGGACAGCAATAAACCACAGCATATTACTGTAGTTCTTTATAGTGTTACATACCATAGACATACCATAGCTCTGTTCTCTCTCTCATTTGTTTTCAACTTTTTTAAGAAAAAATAAATAAATAAATGCTCATAATCTTTACTGATGAAAAGGATGGAAAAATAAACAAACCAACAAACAAAACCAGTTTGTGGAAAAAAAAGGCAGGAAAAAAAAATCATCTGAATGCGGAAGAGCTCGGCTCCTGTTTAGCATTTTGTACTTAAGGAAATAAAAAGAAAAACAAAAAAACAAAAACAGAGAATCTCACGTTTTATTAAGAAGTGAAGATTGCTGTATACTATTTATTCAACTTATAATTTATGTTACTCCTTGATCTTTGTCTCTTGTCATGACAAAGCATTTATTTAATAAAGTTATGCATTCGGTCAGCCTGCGTCGGCTTCCTCCGGGGGCGCAGGGAAGACAGGCAGAAGGGGAAGCCCGCAGGTCACAAACCAGAGGGAAGGACAAAGGACCTAGGCAGGGTCAGGGCCCAGGGCCCACTCCCTCCAGAGGGGACCCCTGAATGGAGGAAGGCTTCTCCCCTCAGACAACCCCCCCTCCAGAACTGGAGTACCCCCTTCTTCATTCCTCCACCTGTCAGGGCCTCCCTTTCTGTGGACACAGCCTCATAAGGGGACAGCCATCAAATGGACACAAAGCGCTTAGGATTATGGGCATTCAGTACATGTCTGGCTACTGTTAGGACTATTACCATTATTATATCATTTCATCTTAGCCACGCTACTAAAGTGGTCTCCATCCACCTTAAGCAAAAGAGGAGTCTTCTCCTTGGAGAGGATATTCAGAAAGCCATTTCTAGAATGTTCCTCAGTCACTTATTCTGGTGCTTCTTAAGCAGTTAGCTCCTGGGAACCTCTGGTCAAGGTGGCTCCTACCTCCAAGTTCTACCCAGCCCCCGCTGCTGTTTGTGCCCAGTGAAGAGCAAAGATGTGACATGGCCCCTCAGATTTCAGCCACAGCCCCTACCTTCTGCCTCAGACTCCGTGACTTCCTTCTTCCCATGCCCCTTTTTCCCTCGGCTCTTTCTCTTGTTCTCCCTCCTCCCTTCAATCACAGAGCCTAGCAGAGCAGGCTGCCCCTCA